ATCCACGTTATATTATGTACTAAGCTCGGACTCACTTACCACTCGGTAAGTGCTAGCTAACAGTATGTGTACTCCAGTGCCATTTTTCGTTTCGCGGATAATCGAAGAGTGCAGAACTCTCAGTATTTTTCAGCTAGGCATAAACTTAAATGATGATTCTACTCCCACAATTTTCGCAGTTAGTTTCTAAGTTGCAAAAGCGGTCTTACGGGCGCAGATTTATCGCTGCAGCTAACAAGTCCACACTGATGGCCTGCCTATTTGCGTACTGTCCTAAAATAGGACCAATCCCCGCAGTTATGCTCAAATCACCCGTCTCCGTACTTCAGCTTTGGCAACTCCCGGCAGTAATGCATAAGCTTATCGAATTGAATGGAATTACACCTGTACATGGAACATTTAAGCAATTTTTTCACATTGTATCCTATGGCCACATTCTTAATTGTTCGGGATACCTTGTTGACCCTCACCTCTAAAACGGAATAAATGCATCGCGCCAAGCAGAACGCGCATTTGGTTCAAAATGATCAAGCAACATTTGTACCAAGTAACATTTTACGCACAGGTTAGGGCGATGCTCCACGCTGCCCTTGCCGAAACCTACGTTAGTTTTGACGGTTTCATTCTCATACCGGCCATTATTGCGAGTCTGGTTTTACAAGTCATGGAATATCGTTTTCCACATAAGGATAGAGGTGCACACGTTTATCTGCTTCGCTGCATTGAAAATATCCTCGCTTCAACTAGCCCAGCTTTACTGATACTGCCAATGAATTTGCAGATCAGCTCTCTAGCTTAATCCTCCTCATCCTGGACTTCCTCGACCTTGGAGTAGAATGCGATAATGATTACTCCGTATCTGAGGCATATAACGGGAGTTTGGAGTTAAGCCTAGGGCTAAGGGAATCTAGAATTTAAGGGCTCCCTTCACTGTAAGCCAGAGCGGTTTTCCACAGGACGACGTAGAACGTGTTTTCAATGGAGAGGTTGCAGTATTTGATTGCTCCGATGTCCATGGATTTCCACTCTTTTTTAAGATTTATGTTATGAGACAAATGGTTACAGACATATATAAATGGTTTTCATATTCTCATTCAGGAAAAAGTTACTTCTTAGTCAGCGTATTTACCCTGAAGACAATGAAACTTAACAGCATCTCCTTCTCTATTATTTCAGGTAAAAGCAGCAATCAGTCTCAAAGGTCAAACCAACGTAAGTTTTTTATACATTGTCAAATTTAAAGTCAAGATAGAAACGCGCATTACGGTGGTCGATGTGATCATGTATTTTTGCAATAATCTTGAAGCAGTCAGATAGTTGCTGCTTTACAGCTGACCATATGAGCCACATCTTGGCAATATTTTCGGTCTTTCCTTGCATATAGAAAGAAAAGGGCGTCAGTTGAAACTGTGCTGCTACTACTGCTGCTACTGCTACTACTGCTGCTGCTGCTGCTACTGCTGCTACAGCTGCTACAGCTGCTACTGCTGCTGCTGCCGCTGCTGCTGCTGCTGCCGCTGCTGCTGCTGCTGCTGCTGCCGCTGCTGCTGCTGCCGCTGCTGCTGCTGCTACCGCTGCTGCTGCTGCCGCTGTTGCTGCTGCCGCTGCTGCTGCTGCTGCCGCTGCTGCTGCTGCTGCCGCTGCTGGTGCTGGTGCTGGTGCTGGTGCTGCTGCTGCTGCATTGCAAAGCCACATTAAATTTATTCTGCAACCAAGCTAAGTAAGGAACTGGAGTTTTATGAAAGTGTTAGGGTCCGTACGTAAACTTGTAGATCTAAAATTCGCTTTTCAATTCGCATCTTCCCAAACACGGATAAACGCTCAGAATTGAATACATTTGCCATCCCTCCTATAGGTAATCAGAGGGCAAAAAAAAAATTTCATGGAAAGACTAGTTATTTTTTATGCCGCTGAAAATATTAAATCGACTTTCGCAAGTGCCAGTTCTCGTGCACGGATACAGCAGTTTGAGGGAGCGTTTTGCCCGCAACAACTTCATGCAAAGCATATTTGAGATTTACGGCATGGCGAATATTAAATTTCCTCTATAGCGCAACACTACTAATTGCAGGAAAAGACGAAAACATTGCCAGCATGAGCCCATATGAAAAGCAACAAAAATGCATACTTTTATTGGTCTGATTGCTTCAAGTTTGGCTCAAAACTCATGGTTTCATTGGCAATCCCGATGAGCGTTGTTACTCAGGTTGCTCATTTTACATCGCACTAGCGCTGCAAGCTAGACAACCAATATCGTGATGGTTCGATTTACCAATATGATGATTCGTATACTACTATGAGGCAGTCATGCTGTACTAGATATCTCTAATTTGTGATTCACGATAATTACCAAGATTGCTCAGATAATGAGGAATAGAGATTCG